GAGGGATGCTGGAGTTTTATTTCTGGAGACGCTGAACCTTTCAGACGTCTGTTTCACAGGATTTAGTCCCAAACAAGAAGCAGACTGAAGAAGATCTCAGCTGCTGCAGCGATGCTGGCTCAGACGCACAGCAGAACCAGAACCCTCACTGAGCTTTACTCCTTTTATATTCACCAGCAAACGACCTTCAGTTCAAACTCATTTGTTTTCATCGACAGGTTTTACAGAATCAGAGGCTTCCCAAAGCAGAGGAACACACACAGAGGAGCACCAGGACGTCCAGAAGATCCATCCAGCAGCTGGCTTCTACCAACATGGTGTTGTATGGATTCACTCACAGGATCACGTTCATGTCGTTTTAATTACAGCACAGATTCGGGTTCTTCAGACTTTCTGCTCCATTCAGACTTCAGACTCGTCCAACCAGCAGCTCAGTGGGATCACAGAGGACTCGGGAATCAGAGCGTTTGTGTGGATGAAGGAGCAACATTCAGATAAGGAGGATCTGATCAGTGAGCCTGGTAACCACACCAAAACATCTCACAGCCAGAAATGAGTTTTCACACAAAAAGCAGCAGGTGGGAGTCGTAAACGTGGTCCAAGCTCAGCCGTGATTTAGAATCAGAACGAGCTGGAGCAGGTGGGCGAGGGCAGTGATGGAGTCAGGACCTGGTGCTGTGTGATCGTTCCTCTGAACCGACCCGTCAGCGCTGCCACAGAAACACTGCAGAGCCACAAACCAGCAGCGTGGAGCAGCAGGCTGAGGACGGCCGCCGTGCCCTTGAGCCAGGCGTCAGGGAGCCACGCCGCTGACGGTCGTGTTGATCACGCTGCAGCAACACAGAGTTTATCACCAGGAGGCGGAACCAGCAGACGGAGGAGGAACCCGCCCCGCGTCGCTTTCTTTTACTTGTCCAGCTCCTCCCGGAGGCCAGTCGATACCCGTCAGCCTCAGAAAAACAGATGAACCGGGACTCTGTTAAGTTCTCCATAAAACCACACCGGGCCACTGTAGCCCTGCAGCCGGCACACCTCATGAGGCCGGGCCGCCCCCCGGCAGCCTCCCGCCGCATGACGGACGACTCAATCTGCCCCGAACAGCCACCATCAGCCAATTAGAGGCTGACAGATAAATCCTGGCGCCGCTCTAACGGCTGACTTTAATAGGTGCAGCTGCAGGAACGGGCTTCCTGATTGGTCGAGACACTGCCGCTTTGTGACGGGAAACACCACGTGATTGGTCGGACTGGTGTTTCTTACGAGCTGTCACACACACACACACACACACACACACACACACACACACACACGCTGTAAAAACCAAATCTGTAAAATCTGTAACGCCTGAAAACTAAAACAGCAATAAAATAGATTTTATGGTCAAACTGAGTGTAAAAGAATGATTATGCATAAAACACAGAGTTTAGGCCTTTTTTTAACAGTCAACACGTAAATTAATATTTTCACAAGATATTATCTATAATCTAATAAAACAGGAAAATTATTTAAAATAAGAGTCTAAAATCATTTTATATTTTTCGGTCCTTCATATAAGTTTTTTTTTTTTTTTTAAATCAAATAACAGAAAAAACATTTTTTTATTTAAATAAAATAAAGATGGTAAAAATGTAGTAATTAACTTAACAGGTTTTCTATTTATTGTATTTTAACAAAACAAGAAGAATCTAATATTATCGAACAGCAACAGCTAAATATACAGAATTTTTCTTTCAGTTATTGGAAAATATCTGTAAAGTTTTCTCCAGTAAAAAACCCAAACTGAACATTTACAGAATCACAGATTTTCCATGTGGTCATTGTTTACAGCTGAAGCCTCTTTATTATTTTTCTGCGATGTTGCTGAATATTGTCTCTGACTGAAGGAATAAAACGGTGAAAACGTGGCGGCTCTCTGCAGAGTTCCTGAGTGGAGGCAGGAGTCAGTGAGCAGCCAACTCACAGGGAGTGTGTGTGTGTGTGTGTGTGTGTGTGTGTGATGAATAAACGATGCCACTCGTTATCTCGGCCGCTGTCACGGTAACGGCATTAACATATGTCGCCTGCTCAGGACAGTCGGTCTGTCAGGATTAAAGCTGCTCAGGCACCAACACAGCCACTAACTCTCTGACTCAGAGCTTCCACTTCACAGCGTCTGACAGCCGGCAGGTTCTGGCTGCTGGTGACAGGTGGAGGTGGGTCGGTGACTCCAGAACCACCCAGACAGAGCAGCAGAGTTCAGGTGTTGGATCTGGAGACGTGTGGTCTGAGCATCAGTCCGCTGCATCCACAGCTAGCGCCTGTTTCACAGCCACACGCTAACTAAACTGGGTTTCTGTTGGCAGAGTGGAAGCTCAGAGGTCCGGACCGGCAGCAGGTGGTAGTTCAGTGCAGCAGCTGTGGTCGCTCAGACCGGATGGAGGTTGGGTTTTAAGGTGGACGGAGCAGGACTAAAACACGTAGACGTATAAAACCAGCTCTCCCTGATGGACCTCTCGTCTTCATGTGTGTTCCAGCAGCTCAGATCAGGACTTTATACCGAACTGTGAACCGCTATGAAAACACTGGACACAGATTATAAATGAATGCGAGCAGACAGAACTCGTCCACAGTCAGTGAACCTGTGCTGCTGCCTCCTGCTGGCCATCAGAAGAACAACAACCTGTTTTCTCCTGGACAGGTAGGCGCCGGCAGTCAGCTTAGCTAGCTTGCTGTAGTATCTGGGTTTCCATAATAGCAACGGTGGCGTTCCTCACCAGGGTCATGGGGG